AGAAGTTGAAGGTAATCACATCTTATAAAAAAGATTTTGACGGACGAGGACGAAAGGGTTGTTATTGTGGGAATTAGGGTTCATCATGGATACGAGTAGGAGCTGTGGAATTGTATTGGAGGTCGCGGATGATCGATGTGGTCACGTCTGATGAAGACAAAGTAGCGCCTATGTATAAATTGGAAGAGATATGCGACCTTCTTCGTTCTTCTCATATCAGTATTGTCAAGAAGTTTTCGGAATTTATTTTGAAACGTCTTGATAACTAAAGCCCCATCGTTAAGCAGAAGGTATCTTTCGATTAAGCCGATGCTTGACTGATTAAAATGTTGTTTCTTTGTGAGAGCATTGAGAAGTTTTTGATTGAAAATGTTACATGTGGGGATTGGATAAGTTTGCTGGTTGATGTCTATTGGTGAGAATGGATCAAAGAGAGATCTCTTGTAGATAACCTGAAATGAACATAATTTTTTGGAGATTAGGATTTCGTTCTTTATTCGTTTGATTAAAGCCTAGAGTTTATAGGGAAATGTAGAATTGATAGCTATCCAATCTAATTATGGTTAATTGTTATGCTGATTCTAGTTATTGCAGTGCGTAATTTATTCCATTATAAGGGGCATCCAGATCCTTTAAAAGGAGATGCGCTTAATAAAGCTGTACGGGATATTGCTCATGAAACAATTTCTGGCTTTTCGAGTCTCGGAAAGAAGATGCTTAACTGATATTGTCATTTGGTAATTTACATGTTGTGTCAATGGATACCTCTGCTGTGTTGAATACGAGAGAATACCATCCAAAATCCTCACGTACCAAGCCACAAAGAATCCGATTTACAAGGGTTACAGATCATCGGTTGAGTCAACCAGCCAAGAAGAGTCTCTGGTATTTGTCATTGCGGAATCATTATCTGAAAAATATTTATGGGACAGTGGTTTTATCTTCCTAAAGAAGCAGAGAAAAATGGTGGTGGAAACTGGCAATCAAGTGATACACGAGAGTTGTTCTATCCGGTATTCTTTGAAAAGCGGAGAAAGTTGTCCTTGTGTTTTGAACTGATGTTTTAGGATGGTATGTTGAACTGATGTTTTAGGGTGTGTTTTATGGTAAACTAATGTGTTTTAGGTACTTGGGATTTGATTGTAATGTTGAACTTTATGTTCTAGTGTAAACATGTTTTGGTACTACTGGTGTTTTAAGATACTACTGATTGTTATTGGTACTACTGGTGTTTTAAGATACTACTCATTGTTATTGGTACAACTAGTGTTTTAATGTACAAGGTTATTTTCAACATTAAACACATGTTTTAAAAAAATAATAATAAACAAATACCACATTTAACACATGCGCCGTCATATAAATTTAAA